GTGAAGAACCTTAACATACATTTTTTGATGAATTCCAGTGGCCTATCAATTTCTACTCGAAACCCCCCTCGATACTACAATAAGGCTGCACCACAATCAACACATAAGAATGGAAAGTACTATGATAATCCAACAAAAGATACGAATTTCCATCGCAACTCATTATTTGCGGCTTACCAATGCTAGAATCAATGAAAGGAGGTTCTTACCTTAAACTTAAGCTCGAAAAAAGTTCAAAACCTCCAAACAAAGTAAAAGCCTTGCTGACAAAACCATCATATAGGTACGCCACACAATCCACAATGAAATTTATACCAAAATGATGAGCTCGCAATGTAGAGCAACTTTCCTAAAGCTTGCAAGAAGAATATACTAAGACCTAAAGAGTATTTTATGGATTTAGGTAGCATTTCTTTGTATTAAGTGCTACTAGAACATGAAAATGGAAAAGAAAATGAAGTCGGTCGATTAAATAAAATTCCCACTGACCTTGGCCCACCTCATGTGCCTACTTGCATCAGCTCACGAAAATGCAAATATCTCTTTATTCTGAAGTTGTATTAACAAACATTTTGATGCATCACAAACTAGACTCGTAGACCTTCGATTTGGTACCTTATGTTCCCCATAAAGTTTATATATGGCAGAAAATTAAAGAGACATATGACCCAAATTTCAGATAAAACTTCAAAAGAAAGTTACGATAACTTTCGCCAACTTTTATTTTACCACTCGCTTAATTTAAAAATATGAGATATGACCCATGAACACTTAAAAGATAACATAATAAATAATTATTAATTTATTAATCACTCCTTCTACGAAAGTGCGGGTTAATGTTGACATTATGAACGTGTGGGTGTTACACCTATTATGGTAGAATCTCATACCAATGAACCTAATACTACCAACAACATCAACAATCAAAGGAATGATACCAATAATGATCTGAACAGCCCTCATCATCTTCAACCTTCAAATGCACAAGAACAAAGTCTTGTTAATGTAGTTTTTGATAGAAGCATATTTCCATAATGGCATAGATCTATCTTCATAGCCTTATCAACTAACAACAAATTAGGGTTTATCAATGGTACCATTCCCACAGCTAGTCTGGATGCCCCAGAGTATGAGCAATGGACTCGATGTAACAACATGATTACTTCTTGGATACTAAACTCTCTCTCAAATGATATAGTAGGAAGTGTTATGTATTCCAAAACATCCACATAACTAAGGAAAAGTCTTGAGCATTGATTTGGGCAGTCAAATGGTGCCAAGCTTTTCATCTACAAAAAGAAATCATAAGCTCAGTGCAAGGAACAGAAGACATAACATGATATTTCACCAAAATTGAGTGTCTATGGGATGAGTTGGACTCACTTAACAATGATATAATATGCACCGGTGTATGTGTTTATGATGGACAAAAAAAGTTAAATTAGTTCTTGAAAGATTAAAGGCTTATACAATTCTTGATGGGGTTAAATGAAACGTACTCAAGCAAGGAGTAGTATTCTGATGATTAACCCTCTCCCCACACTTGATCACATATAATCTCTCTTGTTGCAAGATGAAAATCAGAGAGAGGTTTTTGCTAACTCTCAGTTTCCTAGTGAAACTGCTTCGTTCATGGTAGGAAAACAGGGAAGGACATTCCAGAAACCTGCTAAGCCAATTCAAAGAAATGATTTTCCACCACAAAGATTTGGGAATCCTGGTCCTCAAAGATTTGGAAATTAGTTGCACAAAGGCAAAACTAAAAAAGGTCAAATAAAATCCCAATGTGAACTGCACTTATGCCTAAAGACAGGGAATGTCGAAGATGATTGCTACAACTTGATTGGGTACCAGGATGATTTCCAATTTTAGAACTCAAGGGAATATCAGGGAAACATGAAAGCAAATGCAACAATCATAGGATAAATGAATGAGAAGTGCATCATCATACATAATGAACATAGCAACATGAATGGTCAACAATTCACCAAAGAACAAGTGTCCCAAATCATAAACATACACAAGAAAATTGGACAGGCACATCAGGATCTGAGATCAATGCCAATTCTGTGGTTGGTACTATACTTAAGTATTGTGGATGTTGTTTTACATGATATTATACTTTGTAAATTTTCAAATACTATTACAAAGATTCATTAGAACAAAAGATCAACAATGCTAGTAATTAACTAGTTGTTCTTTATGATGTTCCTCTCATATTGTGTGAACAAACTCTTTTTGTCGAGCATCCAATTTCTTAATCAGCTCATCAAAAAAATGAAACAATATTGGGAATCTCTATTGACCATTGGTGGTTGTGTTATGATCCAACAACAGTTAGCAGGAGTGTAGCTAATGAAATTTGAAGTCAAAGCTCGTGAATTAGTTAAGCCAACAGAATTGCAAAATAAAGGGTCAAGATTAGACTATAGTAAATGAAGGCATGGGTAGGGATTTTGCCACGTCAGTTTGTAGTTATACAGCCAACCTAAGGAGAGAGAATGGCATAAATTTGGAAATGAGGTCACATTCTTCTCCCCATGAAATCTTCATGGTCAAATACTTCTTTTTTCAACCCCTTCTAGGAGCTGAGTTTTTACCTTTTGGCTCCCTCGGTGACTAGAAGTACTCAAAACCTTAAGATTTAAAGTGAGGGGTGCTTACGATCCGAACAACTCACTCTTGCATTCATGTTCAAATACTAATTTTTAATAAAGCAAACAGTTATTCAGTCATTATCATCCATAACTCACATAAATCTTGAATGTGCTAAGGGTAAAATAGACATTGCATAGGATAAATGGATTAATGGAGAATGTCTATTGTACAAAATTGGTGGGGGAGGAGGGTGTGTTTGATTTTTAAAGTCAAGTTCAGTGGTATAAGTTATTTCACCCATAAAAATATATTCACTATATAGTTCCATCATTATTAATTTCGTGATAGATTGTTCACTAACCAAACGAACCCTTAGCACTTAAAATGTTTGTGGTCTCGAGAATTATTACAAAGAGTAAATACCATGAAAAAACTATATGTTTTAATGACTTATTTGCAATTTCACAGTCCGAATTAGACTTCTAATCAAAATTTTCAGTGTAAAGGTTAAGAGTAGAAGTTGAGCCGAGAATGCCTCACCCAACCCAATCCCTAATCAGTTCTGTTCTAACGTACTCATACTTGTTTTACGGCGGGATGGGTCTGTCAAGACATGGGATGGGACAAGATCAATTTTATCCTGAAAGTTTTTAAATTCTAGCTATTGGGGACCATTGGTTAAACGACTCTTTTCAGCCTCCCCCTCTCAACTTTATTTTAACCCCAAACTTCAATAAAGATACACTTTAATCCTACTTCTACCGTATAAATACCCCTCCATTCCTTTATTGTTTCTCACAAGTTATCTATTCTTTCAGCTATATTCTCATATTCTCTCTTCTACTACCATAATCTCTCTAACTCTTTTTTATAAAGGGAAAAAGCTCAAATTTACCAACGAACTTTGAGAAAAGGCTCATCTAGTATGCCATCTGTTAAGAATTTGCCTCATTTATTCCATTTCCATTTGAGCAAAAAGTTCATCCATGCAATTATTTCTTAACTGAAATGGCATAGATGAGTCAAACTTTAAACATATGGCATACAATATGAGCCTTTTCTCAAAGTTCGATGGCATATTTGAGCCCTTTTATTTTAAAAAATAATTTAATTAATAACATGGTAGAACCATAATCGACCACGTGTAAACAATAGTTTTGTAAAATCGATATTGTTTTCAATTAACAAATAATGGCAAGGATGAGCCTTTTCTCAAAGTTCGATGGCATATTTGAGCCCTTTTATTTTAAAAAAATAATTTAATTAATAACATGGTAGAACCATAATTGACCACGTGTAAACAATAGTTTTGTAAAATCGATATTGTTTTCAATTAACAAATAATGGCAAGGATGAGCCTTTTCTCTAATGGAAATGACATAAATGAGCCAAACTTTTAGGGGATGACATAGATGAGTCTTTTCTCAAAGTTCTATGGCATATTTGTGATTTTGCCCTTTGACAAATTATTAATTAGTAATTGTGTTATCAAAGTTTGGTTGACAAGTTTAACTGTTTCCAGATGTCTTGACGATCCTCGCAAATGTAGGGACCTGGTCCTCTATAGAGTACTCTTGTCCAGGACAATGTGTTGTACAACTGGAAAGTTATCGTGTCAGAGGTTGGTGAGGTCGTCATCATACTGAACCAATCAGAATAGACGAAGTTGTTTGTCCAACGGTTAATAATTCTTTATGGTTGACATATTCAACATGACAAACTACATATTATTCATTCATTCAAAAGAGAAAAAATTGAAGCTTCCACAAAACAACAAGAGACCTCATTGACTGAAGATTGCTTCTTGGACCTGTTGTTATTTTTTATTGCTTGTATTTGTGCTTCTTCAACAGACAATTCTATGGATGGTGGAAGACACGAATGCATGACTACATCAATGTAGAAGACACTAAGATGTGGGGCGTGATTCTTGATGGACCTTACATTCTCACCAAGGACATAAAAGAAGGAGAACTTACGAAAGTGATTCCAAAGACCAGGAGGGAATATAATGAGGCTAACCGAAAAAGAATTAGAGAACTATAAAAAGCCAAGGATTTGCTGGTGTGTGGGATTTGTTCAGATGAGTACAATAGGATCTCAGCCTGCGAGAATGCAAAAGAAATTTAGGACTGTTTAAAAATAGCCCACGAAGGAACCACCCAAGTAAAAGAGTCTAAAGTAGACATGTTGACAACCCAGTATGAGAACTTCATCATGAAGGAAGGTGAAGGCATTCACGAGATGCATACAAGGTTCACTCCATCACAAACAAACTAAGATGCCTAGGTGAACCCATTCACCCAAGCAAACAAGTTCGAAAAATTCTCAGAGTTCTTTCCTAGTCCTGGGAAAGCAAAGTGAATGCTATCACTGAGGTCATGGACTTAAAAGTCCTTACCATGGATGATTTGATGGGAAACTTGCAGACTTACGAGCTGAACAGGCATTTGGGTTTATCGGTGAAGGAGGCAAAATGGGACAAATCTATTGCATTGAAAATGGCTCAGAGAGATGGATCTGAGGATGAGGACGATATGGTCTATCAGACTAGGAGGTTCCAGAAGATCATAAAAAAACATGAAGGATTCCAGAAGAAAGGAACAACCAGCAGAATGGCTACTGCAAATGATCTGTGTCACAAATGTGGAAATCCCAGCCACTTCATGAGAGACTACCAGAGCCAAAAGCAAGATGCTCAAGAGTTCAAACTACGGTGAAGAGACAAGGTCCCTCACCATACTAAAATAAAGGGTCACGCTGATCAAGTCGTAAAGAAAGCCTTTGCAGTATGGGGAAATGCCTCTTGTGATTCTGAGTAGGAAGAAAGTCATGATGATGTCTCCATGATGGTGATGAAGGATGAAGAAACTGTCTTCAACTCCATATTCTCCCTGATGGAAAAATCCGATGATGAGGATGAAAAAGATGAGGTAACTCTATTTGATCTTAAAAGTGATTTAGACACATTGTCGATTAGGAGACCGAGAAACTTGTTGCGATTCTTATTGACTCTGTAGATGAAATAACAAATGAAAATGCCATGTTAAGTGTAAAGTTGATTATATGTGAGAGTGAGAAAACTACCTTCGTGTCACAAATGTCTGAAATGAACATTAGGGTGAGTATTCTAGAAACTGAGATTTTGCAGCCTAACGAGGAACCTGGTACCTTTTAGGGTGGGAAACGTAAACTCAGTAGTTTTGAGAATGAATTAGAAGAGATGTTGAAAACATCTGAGTCTAAATTAGTTGTTTCTCTTGAAAAGAATTCACAACTAATGAGGGACTTAAGTCGGATCAAAGAATACTAAACCATTCCTTGAAATGGACTGATTCGTCTAAGATTGTTTCAAAGCTAGCTAATCAGAAGTTCAACAACAGAAAAGACTTAGGGTGTATAAAGATAGAACCTCCCTACAACCCTCACAGTAAATATGTCTCTGTCTCTGACAATATTTTGTGTACCCATTGTGGAAGAAATGGTCATCTAAAGAAACATTGTGAGTCTCTAAAAAGGGTAAAAGAAAATCAGGAAAACTTCCTTAAGTCAGGAAAAATAAAGGTAGAAAAAAGGAAGGTACCGGGTCCCAGTTACCATTTTAGCAAGAATACTTTTCCCCCATGGATGTGAAGGTTTCTCATTAAACCTTTTGACAGTTTTTGGGAAATCCATCTCAAGTGGGTTCCTAGTCTAATAAGTAATTTTTGTGCAGAAGAGAGGAAGCAGTCAATGCTAGTACATGGACAGTGGCTGCTCAAAGAATATGACCGGAGACACTCAAAACTTCCTCTCTTTGGAAGCACACCAGGGTGGTAGTGTGTCATTTGGTGATGGGAAAAAGGAATTCATTCTGGGAATTGGAAGAATTGGAAGATCATCATAACACTCTATAGACAATGTTCACTATGTGAATGGATTGAAATACAATTTACTAAGTGTATCTCAAATCTGCGACAAAGGAAACGAAGTTAAATTTCAGTCAGATAGGTGCATAGTTACTAACTGTGTTACTACAAAGTTGTTATGTACGCAAAAAGAGTAAAAAATATGTATGTTGCAGATCTTGACTCAATAAGAGGGGATTGTCTCATATGTCTAAGTGCTCTGACTGACAATGCAAATCTGTGGCACAAACGATTGGGACATAGCTCATCCTTGTTGAACAAACTTGTTGCAGGGGACCTAGTTTGTGGATTGCCTAAGCTGAAGTTTTCTGTCAACAAGGTCTATGATGCCTGTGTAAGGAGGAAGCAAACGAGATCATCTTTAAAGCCGAAGAAAGGTATTAGCACAACCAGACCACTAGAACTTCTCCACATAAATCTGTGTGAACCTGTTAAAATTCAGAGCAGAGGAGGTAAAAATTACATCCTAGTGATTGTTGATGACTTCTCGAGATTCACCTGGAACATGTTCTTGTAGACCAAGGATGAGACATCTGGAGTACTAATCAGTTTTGCTAAAGAAATCCAGCTAAAGATAAACTGCAATATTGCATGTATCAGATCAGACCATGGTACAGAGTTTGAAAATTCCCAGATCGAAGGTTTATGTGCTGACAACGCGATCCATCACAATTTATCTGTTCCCAAAACTCCTCAGCAAAATGGGGTTGTGGAAAGGAAGAACAGAACCTTGGTGAATATTGCTAGAAACATGCTCATTGACTAAGGACTTGCAATGAACTTTTGGGCAGAATAGTCAACACAACCTGCTATGTTACAAATAGATTCCTCATCAGGTCACTAACCAAGAAGACCCCCTATGAGCTATTGAATGAAAAGAAACCATCACTTAGTCACCTGAAGGCTTTTGGTTGCAAGTGTTTCGTATTAAACAATGGAAAGGATAATCTTGGCAAGTTTGATGCAAGGAGTGATGAAAGGGTGTTTGTCGGTTATTCCTTAACAAACAAAGCATACAGATTTTTCAATAAATGAACTATGTGTGTGGAAGAAAGTGTGCATGTGATATTTGATGAATCTGATGATCTGAACAATGTTAAGCATAGTGAAGACATTGATGTGGAGGAACTGATGGAGGGCCAACAATATAGGGTAATTCAAAATCCTGTAGCTGAACAGATTTCAAATGAAGAAAACAGTGCAGAACCCACAGATAAACGTGGTCCCTCTGGTGCCGATCAGGAGGGAGACCCTCAAACCAAGGATCCTGAAGAAGATGAATTTGTTGTTGATCTTGAGAAGGTGATAACAAGAAAGTCTGGATGGAAACATCAATCTTCTCATCCCTTGGACAATCTGGTTTCTCCACTTGACACTGGTATACAAACTAGATACAAAACAAGAAATCTAGTTGCTTTCTTAGCTTTCATATCAATGCAGGAAGAACTTCATCAGTTTGAAAGGAGAAAAATGTGGCACCTGGTCCCCAGACCTCTCAACAGAACCATTATTCGGACTAGATGGGTTTTCAGAAACAAGCTTGATGAGCACAAAACTATCACTAGAAACAAGTCAAGACTAGTGGTATAGAAGTATAATCAAGAGGAAGGGATTGATTATGATGAGACCTTTGCACCTGTAGCTAGGACGGAAGCTATCATAATTCTAATAGCCTTTGCTACCTACATGGAGTTCAAGATGTTTCAAATGGATGTTAAAAGTGCTTTCCTGAATGGGTATCTGAAAAAGGAGGTATATGTAAAACAAACTCCAGGTTTTAAAGATACTGATCTGCCAAACTATGTGCTAAAGCTGGATAAAGCCTTGTTTGGTCTAAACCAAACGCCTAGACCTTGGTATGAGCGCCTATCAAAATTTCTTCTAGCAAATGGTTTTAAAAGAGGTAAAATTAACAACACCTTGTTCTGGAAGTCTAGAGGTAAGAAGCTTCTGATTGTGCAGGTATAAGTAGATGATATTATTTTCGGAGCCACCTCAGGTTCACTATGCAAGGAGTTTGCAACCTTAATGAGTAGCAAATTTGAAATGAGCATGATGGGAGAGCTTACATTCTTTTTGGGCTTGCAAATCAAACAGACTCCTCAGGGTACAACAATATGCCAAGAGAAGTACATCAGAGAACTGCTTAAAAAATTCAACATGCTCGAGGTCAAAGTGCTTGACACTCCCATGAGCACAAGTGTCAAACTTGATATGGATGAAGAAGGAATTGATTTGAATCAGACCGTGTACATAGGAATCATTGGGTTACTCCTCTATCTCACTGCCAGCAAGCCAGATATAGTCTTCAGCGTAGGGATGTGTGCTAGGTTCCAAGCAGCTCCAAAGGAATCACAATTGAAGGCAGCTAAAAGGATCCTAAGATACCTGAAGGCAACACAAGACCTAGTCCTTTTCTATCCTGCTGGTGACTCTTTTGATCTAATTGGGTTTGCTGATGCTAATTATGCAGGTTTTCTTGTTGATCGAAAAATCACCTCAGGCATGTCTCATTTTCTTGGGTCATCACTAATTTCTTGGGGTACCAAAAAGTAAAATTTTGTGGCTTTATCTATGGCAGAAGCAAAGTATGTGGCTGTTGTATCATGTTGTGCTCAACTTTTATGGATCAAGCAGCAGCTCAGAGATTTTGGTATTCTCACATACACTATTCCTCTCATATGCGACAATACGAGTGCAATGAACATGGACAAGAACCCTGTACAACATAAGAGGACCAAACACATAGATGTGAGACACCACTTTCTTAGAGACAATGTTAAGAAGAACAACGTGGTGATGAGATACTGCAAAACAGAAGATCAAGTGGCTGATATTTTCACCAAGGCATTGAGCAAATAAAATTTCGTCAAGAACATATTGAAGTTGGGGATGCACAAGATCACCTGATTCCACAACAAGCTTGAATGAAACCTCTCATATGACTATGCTAGGGAGGGCAAGTATCCATACTTATTGTATCGCTTAATGTCTATGAACTCATATCCCGTACCTTACTGTAGGTATACACTCATGGAATGTTGGCTAAAGGAAGATTTAACCATAACAGGAAGGGCTACGTATAGAGAGGGACCTGGTCCCACAGAATGTTTGTATCACTTTTTGCTAGACAACTTTTGTTAATGGTCATTGCCACATGCCATCTTCCTATTTCCTGTGTCAGTTACAGACGTCTTTTCGTCTTAAAAAAACAAGGGTCACTACTATTCAAGGACCCGATACCTGTTAAATACAACTCTTTTGAGAGAATTCAAAAATCACAAATTCTTCCTATTCTACTTTGAATTTTCTCATCATTCTCTAGCTGCTCTCTTTTTGTCTCCTAAAGAAAATGTCTAACTCCTCCTCTCCTTCAAAACCTCCTCTTTCCCAAGAAATTAAAAATCCCAGTTCATTGAATTTCTGAATTCCTCTTCCTGAAGGATCTTCGTCCACACCAGTTTGTGTGGTTAGTGAGACCGATGAATCTATCACACCCCATACTGAAGTGTTAGTGACTCCTGAAATTTATCCTGAAGATATATTGACTTGTTCACCAACTTTGGTTTTATTTGACAAAGATTCTCAAAACTTCGAGGCCCAGTCAGTTGTGAAGCCTTCTCTTAAGACACCCATTGAAGATCTAGAAGTTGTGTTTCAACCTAGGCATGTATCATCCACTAAGTCTGAAAGACTTGTTTGAAGGTGATTTTCCTGAGGGAAAATGCATGGAATCGAACATACTAGCAGCAACATAGGAATTGGTGACCGTACAAAGTTTGGCCTCTCTCAGAGGGGATACTCAGTCAACA